CTTTGTGCACTCCAAAATCAGCAAATTTGCACAGATTACTATGAATACAATGTTTCATGAGTTTATTTTTTTAAATAATTCTGTTAAACCACAGTTCAAAAGCAGTATCTGATTTTCATTGGTTAATTTTCATAGAATTTTTATTTATTATTACTTTTGTCAGATTCAAGTTATTTCTGTGACCACTGTGGGTTTTTCTTTCATAACAGAGGGGCACCAACAATTTTGTCCACGTGTAGACGATGTTGCAGCTCCTCACTGTGAACACTAGGGAGCAGTATGCGCTCACGATTTACAACAGACTCCACTTTATCCAGCATCAGACAGTACAAATATCAATAAATCATCATTAGCACTGATTTGTCGAGCTCATTATCAGCCTGGTTCTTACTAATAACATCAGTGAGCCAATTTCTGTAATAACTGTATAAATAAAGAGCTTAAAGTATTCACTTTGAATACTTTAAAGCAGGGGTGTCGAATCCTGGTCCTCGAGGGCCACAGTCCTGCATGTTTTAGATGTTTCCTTCTTCCAACACACCTGATTCAAATAATCAGGATCGCTATCAGGCTTCTGTGGAGCTTGATGATGAGCTGATCATTTGAATCAGGTGTGTTGGAAGAGGGACACATCTAAAACATGCAGGATTGCGGCCCTCGAGGACCAGAGTTCAACACCCCTGCTTTAAAGTAAACAGCTATTGTAAGTAAATTTTACAGATTTACTTCTATTAAATGTCTTCTCTTGTTTATTTTTTTTACAAATCTAAAATACGCGCCTCCTTGTCTGTGGTGAAATAAGAGTTTTCCTGTGATTTATAGGATTCAACAAAACCACAAATTCTGTTCAGGCACAGAAAAAAGGCTTTAATTTGTTCACAGTACATGCAAACAAATATCAAGTGAGCACACTTCAAGGACGTTTATACATAAAAAGCTTGATATTTCATTTAAAAAAAACTGCTGCATGTAAGATACATAGCGTTTGCTAGACTCTGGCACAAACACGTGAGCTTTGAAGATAATACCAACACGGTTCCCATTTTCAATGAAACAGACATCCAAAGCTGCTCAGCTAATACGTACGTCTAGCTTTGACTTTACACTTCAGTAAAAAATAACTTCAGCAGTAACTGATTACATGAGCTACATGTGTTCGTGATGTCTTTCAAGTGGAACAACCAGAAAAAAAGTAGCACCTGAGCCTGCAGAAAAATCTACTTTTCATGTCTTATACTCAGAAGATTGTGCAGAAGGCTGTATGTGGCAGGGAATGTCGAAAGCTCAGCAACAAATACACGTTTAGTGTAACAAATCTCCACATCAACGAGCAGCACAGTGATGCATCTTCAGCCATTGATCTTTTAACAACATGTGAGATTCAGCATTTGCGTGACCAGTTCCTGATTCAGTCGGTGTGTACAGAAAATACAAGCCAGTGTAAGTTTGTGCAAAGTCCTAATTTATCAAGACAGCCAGCAACATGAGCTCTGGACCATGAACTGAGATCAAAACGCTGATTGTCAGTAGTTCAAGAACTACAATATGTAGGTCCAAAGCCCACAGTCTACAGTCCAAACGTGACTGCTAATGTTAGAAGTTAAAAAGTTTGACCTTAATTCTGAAAGAAAAACGATAGATTTCTCCATTTCTTAGCCGATATGGGCATAAACCAAACAAGATAAGCATTTATACGGTCATAATTAAAGTAGTATTCCACCAGAACATCAAATATAGATGCTATATTAACAGTGTATATAAATATCCATACAATCATCCTGCCTTTTTTAAAACTCTTCATCCCTCATGACATCAAAATTGATTTTTGAATAAAACCAGATTCCCTTTAACACACCCCTAAGCTGTAACTGGCCTTTTAGCTGTCTGTCGACCCGCTGCTCTTGTTCTTGTTGCGACTGAGAGGAAACGTGGATTTGCTCTGCGGTTGGGTCATTTTGCTGGCCAGGTAGACGAAGGGTTCGATGAGAGTGCGTCGGTCCACCACCGACACCTCCCACAGACGCACCTTCTCGTTCTTCGCCCAGTTCTGAGCCATGTTAGAGTCAATTCTCCTCTCGTCCTGCTTGTCCAGCTTGTTGCCCAAAACAACAATGGTCACCTACAGATGGGGATTATTGGGTTAATTTAACAGCAGGGAAATCTCTGCCTACAATGTGCTTCACTACCTCTGCTACGGTTTTACAGGTTGTCTGACAGGAATTAAATAAAATTACAAGGAAGCCACATTTAAATAAATCATTTATATTTCACTGCATGGAGCATATTAATTGATGTGCTAACAGTAAAACACCGGAGACTTTTGCTTGGCTCAAAAAGATTTAAAGCTGTGGTATCGTGAATTTATAAAAGCCTGGTACCCGCCTTTAAAGCACACGCTAACTGACTGCAAAAGCAAAGTTACAACAATAAATGACAACTCGATGACTCCTGTTACAGTATTAATACTGTATTTTGATGCAGAATGTTCTGCACACTTGTGTGATTTATATTGTACTTTTTTCTAGCATTTACATTCATATAGTGAAGCCAAGCTCTATGTAGACCAGAGGTTTCTGTATTGTGAAAAAGCGAGAACAAATAAAAGCAACTGATGTTGTTGTTTTGAGGTCTCCGGATCAACACCCGCTAATTTCACCCAGCTTTGTTAAAGTAACACTGAATTAACACTCTGAATCCCCCAAAAAGCCAAAATGACACCGTTTATCAAACTAGAAAACTGTAAGGAATCATCAGATTTTCAGCTTTCCAGCAGTCTGTGAACAAATCAATCAGCTTAATGTTGTGATATTTCACTTCATGCCACATGTTTCATTTCTAAAAATTGCTAAAAATAAATAGTTTGTTTTCACTTGATTATGTAAAAGGCAAAAAAAATCTGTGGTTTTTGACACATCATGGGTGACTCAGCTGTGACCAACAGTCATGCGATAAAAATTATAGGAGTTTTCGGCTAAACTGCCAGCAGTGTTGACAGAGTCTGCTCTGAAAGTAGACAAGTGTGTAAATAGATTCAACATGTAAGTAGTAAAATATCTATAGTATGTAAAGTCAACATTTTTTCCTCGGTATTCATAACACCTATGGTTACTTGGAAAAATGTTGGACGTTCTAGATTTTTCCAATTTTTGGAAAAAGAAAAAATAAAAACATGCAACTGTTGTGTTTTCTTTTGCTATGATTTATGGCATTGCAATTTAGTCAAACTGCACAAAAGACATTTCTGAGTTCTCTCTATTTCTATCCATGGTTGTGCATGTTTCCACAGAGGTGCAGGACTTTACATTGCACTGAAAAATGAGTCCACATTGAGTAAAAACAGGACGAGAGCAAAAAACTGCTTGGGTTAACCGTACCAAAAACATCACTATGTTCTTTGCTCACCTCCTTCTTGTCTCTGTGACGATCAATGTCTTTCTTGAGGGCCTCCATTCGCTTAAAGGACTCTTTGCTGTCAATGCTGTAGACGAGCACAAAGCCGTCAGCAAAGGTGTAGTAATGTCGGGGAAACTCCATCCCATCACGGAGTCCGCGGGTGTCGTAGAAACGCACCTGCTCCCGTGTGCCGCGGTCGGTTTCTATGGAGCCGATGTAGATATCCTCCAGGGTCTCCATGGGCTCCGAACCTACGAGTGGACAAACAGACAGATGCTGTGAGTATTACAACAACACCTTATGTTATTAAAAAATGTACCCAAACACGTTTACACTTCTTTACTTGAAACAAAGAGCAGCACTCTCTGCATGACGTGGTGTCAGAAGAAAAAAAACCTGCTCAAGATGACACATCGAAAACAGATGTTGCACATTTCTCTCATTTTAAGCAAACAGAAATTATTTTTGCCAGGAATCAAGCTGTTAATTGTTCAAATAACTGTGTCACACATCTGCTTCAAAGATAAACAGTAGAAAATAGAAGTTGTATGATAATTCACAAAAAATGAAAATACCCAGTTGAAGTGTTTTATTTGCCTCAAGTCTTATCACAAGCTGTGAATCACCCAGAGTTGTTTGTTATGATATCAGCTGTGCACAGTGGAAAGAAGTATTATCTGCTCCCTGATGTGCCTGACTAAGAGCAATGTGGATTTTATTTTCATGAGCAGCATGAACAAGTTGATTATGTGCTTTTTTATTTGCCATTCCCAAATAATTATGCAGTGGTTATAAATATTTAAGACATCTAGTCAACCAGTAATCTTTTATTAACAAAATAATTTGGTTGACTCTTCTGGTGTGAGGTTGAAAAGTGTAGGGTGTTATCTGATCAGTAAGTCTTTGTTATTTGGACTAATTAAAGTAAAACAGTACAATGTAACGGCAAGAGACATACCTGCAACATGATTGGCGTACAGCAGTTGTTCCAAAACTGCTGTTTTTCCAACTGCAGCCTGGCCACACACCACCACTTTGCAGCTTTTACCCATGATGATTTCTCACCGTAGGTCAGAAAATCTGTTTATCAAAAAAGACACACAGATTAAAAACTGCTGAGTCAAACAATTTATGAACTTCTACTCAGTGCACAGAAGAGGCTCCACAATATAGACCTCACACTGCCATGTGAAGTAAGGAAAATCAACTTAAACACATCATACGACAATGTTTTTCACTGCTAGATATAAAAAGAAAACTTGTATGGTTCCTATTGTCCATAACGAATGTAGAAAAGAAGTCTGTCTGAGTGATAAATTAGAGGTAGATTGAGTTGTTTTAAAATGTTTATTTCCAAGACACAGAGCTTGTTGACATGCAGGCTCCACATGTGCACAGCAAAATGAGTAAGAAAGAGGAGAAAAACAGAAAAGGAAGATTTGCGATAAAGAAATGGAACGTCTGTTGTATTGAAATGTTTCAGCTATAGAAAGGATGTTGGTACTCTGTCAACAAGGTCTTACAAATGTTCCCACAACAGGAGACAACACAGAGCTCTGCACGGTGAGTGCAAAGAAACCCCAATCACTCTTGAATATTTAATTATTTCCAAATTAAGCAGTGGCTAGAAGATCCCCGGTTCGCGACCCTACAGGATTAAGCGGTGTATTGTGATATCCATTTTCTCCATCCATCCATTATCTATACACCGCTTAATCCTCACTAGGGTCATGGGGGGCTGGAGTCTATCCCAGTTGACTTCGGGCAGAGGCAGGGGACACCCTGGACAGGTAACCAGTCTATCACAGGGCTACACTTAGAGACAGACAACCAAGCACACTCACATTCACACCTACGGACAATTTAGAATCACCAATTAACCTCAACATGTTTTTGGACTGTGTGGGAGGAACCCGGATAGGACCCACGCTGCACGGGGAGTACGTGCAAACTCCACGCAGAAAGTTCCCGGGTGTCCTCACCAGGACGCAAACCGGCGACCTTCTTGCTGTGAGGCAACGGTGCTAACCACCGCTCCACCTTGCAGCCCATCACTATATATCATAATACCATAACACTGCAATGGCAGTCTTTCCAATATCATGCAGCCCTCATGCATGCCATGACTTTTAATGCCAATAAAATGCGAGGATGAAACACACAGAAGTAAGTACATAAAGTATTCAGAGGAGGAATGATCCCCTACTATTTACTGTCAAAGCTTGGGTACAAGTTGTGCTCACTAATTCATTATATTTAGCCCTAATCTGATACTACACCCATCAGTGCAATCCTTGTCTGTTCATAATTTGTGCACTGCAGTTGTTTTTTTGCTTTTTTTAAACAGATTTTGCAGAGCACAAAGCTGTTAAACTTGGTTGACATATGCTAAGTTTAGCACTATACAGCCACCAAGAACCTAATCCTATGAACCACAGGTTAATGCAACACTGATGACTTTAGTTTCAGCTCCAAGTGGCCTTTTTCTGCTTTTAAAAAAAAGACTGCTTCATTTTCCATGCAGATGCATCGTCTTAAAAAATCACTTTCACCATTGTTGATTAAATATTCCTAAATAGCGCAATCTAGTGAAATTCCAACACTTTTGTCAATATAAGTCACAGAAACACAATATCGCAATGTCAGTTTATCCAATAACGTGCAGCATTAACATCTCTGATAATATGTTGTGTTTTATACGCATTTACTAACTTAGAGTTGATCTGCAGTTCGCTAACAGCAACGTAAAGTATCTTAGTTATGTTTACAATATGAAACATTAGCTAGCCGAGTGGGCTAACTTCATCGGTTTGTTAGCTTAGCATTAGCTTTCGAGAAGATACAGAGCCATGATATCACACATTCGTCGCTAATGTTACCTGAAACGGCCTACTTTGGCTAAAACGTGTCTTAAAAATTACGCACACTGATAGTAGTAGTTTGGTTGTTCGTATTTCTTAGCTATCAGAGTATGTTTTTCTACCTGCTAGCAAGCCGTCTTCTTCAGCTGACGGAGCGCTTCCTGTTTACAGTGTACGTAACGACTGCAGCACGAAGCCCCGCCCCTCCCCATTGACGGCAAAATGGCGGCGGAGAGCTGTGATGCTGTGAACATGGACCCTGACATGGAACTGCTCAGCGACGAGGAATTAGAAAGGTGCGGGGCGCTACAGCGGTGTTGTCAGCGGCAGAAACGCATGTATAACGAAGTGTCTTATTGATGTGCTCCATTTCCGGCCAACTTCGTGTTAATTTTCTTGTCGCACTGTGGGAGCTAACTGGCCGCGCTGCCGCTAACTGTTTAGCTAAATTTGGCCCCGGAGAGCGTCTAGCTCGCTCCCCTCAGTTAGCCCCCTCCTCTGTGCTAAATTTGTGGGTTGCAATTGCTGTAGCGTCTGTAAATCTTAATCTGCAGTTGTTTTCTGGCTTCACATGAATGCGATATGCCCAGAATGGCATTAGCTGGCTAATGACACCACTCACTCTCTGTGTGGTCGTGATGTAAAACATGAAAGGCCTCCAAAAAAAGTAATGGCAGTAGCCCACAGCATGGTGTCATATGTTCCTGGCTCTGCTCTGCCTGCCTGCTTCATAAAATAGCTACGTGTTGGCTCAGAATAGACCCTCCTGCCCTGCTGGTGTGGCTCTTTCTATGTTTGGCTCTAACTCTCTAATGACCACTGTCATTCACAAGCTCCTGCATGCTTTCTCCACTCCAGACATTTGTTATTGTTGGGTGGGCAGTGCAGATCTGGGGATGTCACACTGAAACCATAACCTGCAACTGGATTTCAGGGATTCTGTCTGAGCTCTTGCAGCCTGCACAACACTGGAAAAGAAAACTGACATTGCAATGATTTCTTTTTCTGCCATGTATGGACATCTATAAAAAAAAATGCAATAACTGTATTTTCTAAGAGTTCTTCTAGGAAGATTGGGGTGATTATGTCAGGGAGTGCATGTGCATTTAAACTGGAACATCATTTAAGAAAGTCGTCTGCAACCTTCAGCATCTAGTCCAACACTGGCAACTGAAATAGTTTTTGCATTGGATGACATTCAGATTTGGCTGTGCGCTCGTCCTACAGAGCTTGGTGCTGCTGATTTAAATGGTCAAACAAATTAGTTGTGTTGTCTTCTGTTGTGGCAACAGTTGTAAGACGCTGCGCCCACAGTACGTGTTGTTGGTCATTGTTTCCGTAACCAAAATATTTCGTCAGTTGTGTGGTTGTGTTGTGACGTTTCTCCTGCCGCTCAGATTTTCTGTGTTTTTTCTCCTGTTATTGGCTAATTTGTCTGTGCACATGTGGAAGCTGTACGTCAACAAACTCTGTCTCTTGTAGATAACAGTTAGTAGATTAAACAAAAATCTTAGTGTATCTAAGAAGCTGTTAATCACAGCAACTGACGTTCTGTCAGACAGACTTCTCTTGTAGATTAGTCATGGAAAATGAGAACTGTGCAAGTTTTCTTTTCGTCTGGCAGCAACAAAACTTATAGCATGATGTGTTTGAGTTAATTTGCCTTATCTCGCATCGCACTCTCTGAGATTTGACTATTGTGTACATTTACGGTGTGGATGCTGAAACGATTTATCGTGCAGCCCTGATGTACTCTGTCATTCACAATGTCAGACCTTGCGTTGGCTTTCAGAAACTAAAAACTCAGAATTTCACAAGTTCTATTTATGATGTTGTAGTATAGTGGCTAATTGAAAATGATGTCATGTGAGATTTAAGGAGTCGCATGCTGATATGCGATGGGTTTTTTATTTATACACGTACAGTTAATATTTTGGTGATTTCAGCGACGATGCTGTTTGAGTTGAAAAAGTTCACCTATGTGCAAGACATCCGTAGGTTATGATTCCAACACTTTAAAGTTAAATTAACTTAAATAATTTTACTCAAGTAGATGAATCAGACTTCAACGTAACAATAATATTCAACAGTGACAGAACTCAATGCTCAGCTGTGCAAAAAAAGATTTCACTGCAGCTGATAAACAGTGACTCTATGTGACAGGTCATCTATTATTTATACATTTTTCACATCTGACAGACTATAAGTAGTTAATGATTTACGTTGTAAATCCTTATAGTGTTCTTCCTTTAAAGATGCTCATGTGAATCCTACTGCTGTCTGATGCTGCAGGTATCTAATAAACTTAGAGGGAATCGTCCTTAACAGCTCGAAGCAGCAAACTGAAAGTGTACCTCAGTCAACTTAAACCATGCAAACTGTGTTTTTTGCACTGTGTGTGATGTTTATGGATGGCAGCACAGCCAGACGCTACTATGCATGACTGTTTAGTTGCATAGTGCTGCTTTCACTTACACGCGAACACTGTAGTTGCATTGATTGAAACTTAGACGTTTGAGTTTCAGTAAGTATGCTTTGCCTACCAGATCAGTAAGACTTCAGAGATGGCCATGGCCCCCTCTGACCTGCTTTGGAAGCACTGCTGTCTTTACTTATGATTAGGAATCATGCAAATTAAAAGCCCTACAGTTAAAACAACGTAAAGGGGCAAGTAGTTCATTGCCCACCTGTAATTATGTCACGTAAACTCACATCACTTGTCACTCATGTCAGACTCGCCTACTGAATTTTTTGCTTTTTCTGCCCACTTTCACACAGGGAAGCGGAGGGCTTCAAAGAGCAAGGCAATGCCTTTTATATCAAGAAGGATTATGCAGAAGCCTTCAATTATTACACCAAGGCCATCGGTAATTATTCCAAAATTATTTTTGGTTATATTTCATGTTATTAGTCAGCGTGAGGAGAATTAATTAATATTAATTCTGTTTGTCCTTGATAGGATGTCTCTAACTTATTTTTTTTACAGATATGTGTCCAAAAAACGCAAGTTACTATGGAAACCGGGCGGCCACACTAATGATGCTGTGCCGCTACAGAGAGGCTTTAGAGGATTCCCAGCAGGCAGTACGACTAGACAATTCCTTCATGAAGGTGGGTTTAGGCGAGACAAGTCATTTAATTCCATTTAAAATGGAAATTTTTCCTCTTTCTGTGTCTGTCATTGTTAAATATGTTCAGCTAGAGACTGACTTAAAACAACGTCGACTTCTGAACTTGAATTTGAGGTTTTACGCAGCTTTGATTGTAGTTCATTACATCGTAGAGCTTGTGGGAATCTCCACCTTGATACAAGTTTGTATTTCTGTTTTATAGTAGCATCAGGCTCCTGAATACATAAGCTGCAGCACATCCCTGTTGTAGGTGTATTGCATGGCAAAGAAGTAATTCAAGGCTAGTGTTAAGTTTTTGACATGGGTGTGAATTGAGGAACATTATCACTTCAGGCTGTGAACTGTAAATCTTTTGCCTACAGGGACATCTGCGAGAGGGTAAATGCCACCTGTCCCTTGGCAACGCCATGGCAGCCAGCCGCTGTTTCCAGAGGGTTCTGGAGCTGGAGCCGGACAACAGCCAGGCGCAGCAGGAGGTGAGCCGGCCTCACCTTTCAGAAAACATGATGTGACAACTTGGACATGATTATCCGGTGTCAAATAAGCTTTGGCCAAGCTGCTGCGGGTAAAGTTCAGAAGTCTGACACTGAGAGGTTTAAGCGGAGATCAGCTCAAGCTGCTGTTAATTCTCGGTGAGAAAGCAAGGAGGTATTTAGATTATTCCCAGAAGGTTGACCTGGTTATACGAGCACTGAGCATGACGCGGCCAGTTGAAGCTGTAAATCTGACTAGCATAGGTCTTCCTCATTGTCACTGAATACCACAAATTCCTTTGGCAGCTGAAGAATGCAGAATCCATCCTGGAATATGAGAGAATGGCAGAGATTGGATTTGAGAAGAGAGACTTCAGAATGGTAAGTTCATCATTTGTGAGATGCAACATGTCACGAGTAACAACACGGACTGTAAGTAAACACTGGTTGTCTTTAGGTTGTCTTCTGCATGGACCGTGCCTTGGAGTCTGCCTCAGCTTGTCACAGGTTCAAGATACTGAAGGCGGAGTGTTTAGCCCTGCTGGGACGATACCCCGAGGCTCAGTCCGTGGCCAGGTAAGGAGGCATGCTCGAAAAGAGGTTTGACATGAGTAGAATGTGTCACATTGAGGTCACAGTAAAAGAGGGGAATAAAGCCACTGAGGTGTGGATGTTGCATAACATCAAATCCCCTCGGCGCTCGTTTTGACAATTTTGTAAAAGGTTTGATCAGTCAGAAACAGCTAAAGAGTGTTTGGAGATCTGTTGAAATGTGAAAGCAGCGATATGCACACGGGTGTAAGAAGGCTTGATGTCAAATTTGACATCACAGCGCTGAAAGAGGCCTTAAATTTAATCACTCCAGCTTTTTCATTTACCTTGAAAGTGAAGATTCTCAGGGGTATGCCTTGTGGAGCTTCCTCTGTTTCCACAGTTTCGAGCTGTTTTGCTGCGCGGCAGTTGATAACTTTGGCTGATGCTCTTCTTTCATTATTGACACATCTGTTGCCAAACTTACTCTCAGTTGAAAGATAATGACAGTAAGAACGATAATAAAGTAAATGCCTTTATTTTTTATGGGATTTACGGTTTTAACAATTGTGTGTTTTCTCACCCAGTTTGGATGTTATCAGCACTCATTATTGCCATACTTATGTGCAGGCCTCTACCTTCTAGTAGGCATGTGTAAACTCATTTAATGATGGTGTAGCTGCAATTTAGCACAAAGGAACAAAATTGAGCATTTGGAGGATGGAGGGAACGTAGGAGGCATAATTCAGTGGACTGTAAAACACAAAACTGAAGTTGGAGTTCCATCTCGAGCCATAATTGGTCATGTAAATATGTAAATAACACATAGGTTTATGCACACAACTGCACTCTTGCACATTCTGCACTGCACATTACCTCACTATCTCTACCTCATTATCATTTATTTTAGTTTCTACAAAATGTTCTTTCATAATGTCTTATTGTTCTTGCTCAGCCTTGAGGAGCAGTCATGTTGTCATCCACTCTACATTCTGCATGAGCATGTGACAAATAATAACTCTTGAATCTTAATTATAGGTACTTTTTTTCATTTGTT